TAACTCTTTGTATTTTTTTCACCTTGGCAAGATATAGAATTAATGCAATTTAGTGGAAGGTGTTTATGTCCAGAGTTACAAGGAGAGATCTGTTGAACACGGGAGGAAACATATTTGTGCTACATACATCGTGGCGTGGGAATTGTTAAATAGGCCAGCCCATATATGGCGTCCCAGAGGGAAAGCCGACACTATGAAGGGGGCGGAACATCCCTTCTACAGACTGGGCTAGACACCCTGACGCCAGTGTCTGGGCGTCAAGAGACTGCCGCTGTCACTCACAGAAGGGCGGCAACACAAGTTGTAAAGAAGCCAAGGCCCCGCCCAGGCACGCCCCATTCTCCTGGGGGGGCCGCCACGTGCGTTACTTTGCTAAAAAAACATTTTTCACATTTGATCTGGCATTTTTGAACAAAGAAATGCAGTCACAATGCCGCTACGTTGTACTGAAAATTAGCGTAGCGGGGGGAAAATTGGCGTAGCGGGTCAACATTTTAGCGTCGCGGGCCCCGACGCTACTTAGCGCTAGCTAGAACCCTGTTTACATTGATATAACTATAATATGAAGTAACATACAACTAAAACAACAGTTGGATAGCTATTTCCTACTTTATTGGTTAGGATTTTTAATTGCATAATGCAAACTGTTGATTTTCAAAATAAAATAAAAAACGTTCATGCCCCGCATTCCAATGCTGGAGCAGAAAAGCTTGAAATACCTACCAAAACACTTGAATAAAGACATACTGTCAGTATGGAAATGCTCTGTGCAGGTGTTAATCAAATTAAATCCCAACAGCCAATCAGCAAGAAATGCTCTGTGCAGGTGGAAATGCTCTGTGCGGGTGTTAATCAAGTTAAATCCCAACAGCCAATCAGCAAGAAGTATAGAGGAAAGCTGCATGCCTATTGGTTGATGCCCTGCATTCCATTGTGATGACTCATGCCCAGACGTGGTAAACACGCACACTAACACAGTAATACATTTGCTATAACACAGCCAAAAAACTCAAATAAAACCATTCTAAAAGCCTGTATCACAAAAATTTAAAAAACGCCTAGGGGTATTTGCCCACTGTACCTCCATACCAAATTTCAGGACCTTAGGCCCTAAAATGAAGAAGCTGAATCCATTTAAAGATATGGCAGGAGGAGAAGGAGGAGAAGGAGAAGGAGGAGGAGAAGAAACATCAGAAAAAGCAATATGGGTTCACCACCACTTCGTGGTGTGGTGAACCCATAATGAAATCTTTGATGGAGAAACAACACTGAAATTCGAGCAAATCTTCAAGCTTATTAATAATAATATTCTTTAGATAAATATTTTGTTCAAAATCATTTCAAAGTAACGTAAAGAAGGGCACATACATAGAACAATGTTCTATTGTTAAGATTAAACAGTTGACTTACTTTGCACTTGCATACACCGCTGCAGCTGGAAACATTGGTTGTGAGATGTCAGCATCAGAAACTTTTGTCTGAAGCTCATCCTGATACCTTAAAGGAGGAATGGTGTCAGTGACTATCTTTGTGACAAAGTGAACACTGTAATGTTGATATAATATCATAGTAAAGAGCACACCATTTCAATTGTCCCTGTGTGTAAGTTTAAGATGCAAATATTGAAATAATCTGATAGCTTCTATAACATGGGATATTCAAAACTTGAGAGGTTGTCGGTAGAAAATGTGTGTCATTATGTGGAATACCTGTGTAAAATGTCCTTTGCTAATTCTGCTGCCCCGATACAGCCAAACTGAACACACAGGTCCTTCACGTTGGCCTTGGGCTGCACATCCAGCATCCGTCCCAGGGTCTGCAGCGCATTGCTGTAAACTTTCTTTGAGACACCTGACAGCCGTACTGCAACATCCTACCATAGTTATTAAAAAATTGAAATCAATCACATTGTAACACATTGGTGGGCATCACTACACTGACAGGGATAGGAAGGTAGTGTAAAGTGCCTTTCCTAAGGGCAAAACTTCAGTACATGATGAGTGACGAACCCAGGGCCTATTGGTTCAACGTCCAATGCTCTAACCGTTGTGCCACTTATGCCACTTGAGGTTTTGAACTGCTGATTAAAGCTTAATTTGTATGTAAATCATTGCGCATGTGTGTGTCTAAATTTCTGTCTCCAATATTGGGCCAAGTTGACCAGGGTGTTGGGCCAAGATGACCAGGGAGATGGGCAGAGTTTGTAATGGTCCGAGTCATCCGACATCCACTAGTATACTATATATTGATATGCTGTAGGGACATATTTCAGTGTTTATAAAAGAGTAAACGAACACAAGAAGAAAACTATACATTGTCATACACGACGTAAATCAATGTCTTCTAATGATCTGTCAGATCATGTAGGAAAAGGTGTGTACTTAAGGTGGTTTACAATGTATGCGATACAAACAAATAAACAACAATATATCTGTGCCAACCTTATTGACGGGCTGGTCCTGACAACTGGCTGCCAGCTCCAGACAGAGGACGGCCTTACATGACCCCTGGACCCCCAGAGATGACAGGTTAGTACACCTGGCATCACACATCCTCATCAACTCTAGAGCTTTCCTAGAACAAAAATGTTGAGGAGATTTAAGATTAATATTCTGACATGTAATATGATTTAGTACACAATACCTCTCAACTACATCATGGTACATGTTATTATTATTAACATTATGTGTTATAGTTGTGGTGTTTCTACAGTCTGGCTCATATGATAAATCAAGGACGTTATATCGAAGCTCCTTGGACAAATCAAGGACATTGGACAAATCAAGAGGTTTAAAATATAAACCTCCCTAGACACCCAGGAAACAAGAGGTTGAACGTGAAGCATACTTGATTGTGCTTGGCACAGAAATTCCAAGTTTTGGAGCAAGCTTCTTCACCACTTCCCCCTCCATAATGGTGTTGATCACTGTTTGAGGAAGACAACTAAACGTAAGAAGAGCTTTGGGTACAAATCTTCCGGCTACAAAGCACAACAACCGAACCACAAGTTGCAACTCTTGGAATCAGCTGATCTCGAGTTTCGCGGGAAAAATAATGCTGCATTGTGGGTAAGAAAGTTTGTAAATTTCCCAGAAATATTACCAAACGCTACATTTTCATGAGTTTATGGATAAACTATTGGAAATAAATATTTCTGAAAGAGCAAATGTGTTCAATTGGCCGATGAAATAAGTTTTAACAAGGTGAGCTTGACCCTAGTTTGCATATTTGAAAGCTTCGGTCTTACGACAAACAGCCAATGAGGTAGCTCGTTACTTTCCCTGCTGTGATGGCAGTCACGTGAGGAATCCAAGATGGTGAGTACACACTTGTGTATTTCCGGTTTTCGTGGCCTAAATTAGTGCTTAGAACCGCGAATAGAATGAAATTACGATATTTCAATCCTCATGAAGAAGTGCGGTCGTTATTAATGACTATGCTCCGGCGTATAGATGATTGCTAACAGAGACAGAACAGGCTTTGCGGAGCTTCCTACGGCCATGCCTCCCATAATCAAACATGGCCGGGTCCCATGATCAGATGGGATTCTGTCATACTCAACTGTGTACATTTGCCCTTTTCTGTTCCATACGTCGTCGATTCTTACACATAAGGTAGTTCTCAAGAAGGAATTCATAAATACTGGTGAATGCGGGAAGGGCCGCGATGCTTGTATGCCTTTTTGAAAGTTCCTACGATTTGCAAGCAGAAGTGATGTGAGGAGGGCAAAGGCCAACACCCCACCCCACCCCCTACTTTTCAGTATAGATTTTCATAACAACCAAATTATCAAGGAAATACGTAAATTAGCAGCAGATCTATTTAAATTTGGGCGATCAGCTGAACAGTCAGCCACTCCCTATTCATACTTTGGAAATATTTGCATTTCAATCTTATTAGATTTTCTACTACTACTAGTATATTGGTTTATGTCCATTTAGATTATGACAGGTGTTCTACAACTGTTGGGCATTGATTATGTTGCACATACACAAGACAAGAGTCACCTTTGTATCATGTGATTGTATTAACACTGTAGTACTAGTAGTATATTACCTAGTAGTAATTCTTACTGAGAGACGTGTTACGTACATCTGATCCACCATTGTGAATTCAGCTGGATAGCATTAACAATGAGGTAAAAGCCACCACACCAGGAAATAATTTTAGTTCCATGTGCTGATTACCTTCATGTTCAGAATAGAGTGACACACATAGTATCTTGTATAGATTCCTTCTAGTTTTATTCCGGATAGTGACTCAAGTTTGATATGATATATAAATTTGGGAAGATGAGGGGAGTAGAGGAAAACCACTGCATGCACTGTCTCTCAGCCCTTTGACCACTTGAAATCTTAGATGTGTCAAGTAATTTCATGTAAAGATGGATCCATAATACCTACTAGTATATTATTCCTGCATTACTCCAAGTTTTCATTAGACCAGGACCACCAGGTCTATGGTTATATGGTTAGCCACACTTATGTCCATGGTCACTGAAGGGAACGAGTGATATCTGTTAGCCTGAGTGACTGTACATTTGTAGAAGACACTGTTTTTACATGTTGAATGTTATAAAAGTAGTAGATTGGTTATTGTCATCCTGAACAGAGGGGAAGCATGATACATATACGTACGTAGTGATGCTGTGATCATTTTAAACCTTTTTATTCTAACAAAGCAATACCAACTTTCTTGCCAAGAACTCTATTCCTCATTATTGTATTGCACATGATATAGGGAACAAATAGGGTTTCATGTTGACTATCTGCTGAATATATTTGCCAATGAGGATTTTTCCCTGTTACCTTAAGGTGCCACAGAGCTTATTATAGTACACATACCTGCTTCAACAGTGTATTTTTTGCTTAAATACCAGGAGTGAGATTTTGTATTGCTGATGACTTTGTTTCCCAGCATGTTGTTTCTAACTGACTTCTACTTAATTATTCTGTTTTTACAATCAGTCAAGTGAGGACTCTGTGAAGCAGGTATGTCAGAATTTTAGTATCTAACTGTGGTTAATTTGTACATGTAAACCCTGCAAGCTTGTGGCTATACAATTTTCATTGGATTTGTCTTACCGTCTCAGTTTTCATCGTTTTGTCAAATACATTGTTTTCCCAGCAAGTTTAAGTGTGAGTGCAGTGGTCATATTGTATTTGCTTTCCTATCATTGACATCACACCCACAGACAGCTAGAAGTGCCAAGAAGAGCACCTTTATTTGCTACATGTACATATGTATGTTTATTTAGTTTTTGTAGCATTATTTTCAAGAGATGCAGCTTAGTTAGAGATGAAGATAGACTGGAAAAATATCCAGTGTGGATATGAAGGTAGGAATGAAACAGGAAAAAATGCATCAGTTACCAACTCAGTAAATGATGGTCATTTCCCTTTTTCAGTTCAGATGAAGGAAGGAAAGAGTATTATACTATACAGTGTCATTGTCCAGTGTGCCATCATGCATCCCAGAGTAGCTGATATGTCAGCCTTTGCAAATCCTGTTCATGTTTCATACTTGATGACAAGAAATAGAATATCCTGTCCCCTGTTGAGAACATAAGACAGTGCCATTCATAAACTATTCAAAACTAAATCCTCGGCGCATCTTGGACAGTAAGCTCCAGGTTTGTCTCAATTGGAAAGCTGTAAAACTAAATGGGGAATCCATCATCATGCCGACTCTTGCTGGCCTCCCCTTTCAACAGGTTGATAAAGGGAATATTTCAGTCTTTCGTGGTGTAGATTTTGGTTGGTATCAATTTGCCAGCACAGCAAGAGCACCCTGCTGAATACAGAAATGCCCCCAGCCTCTTGTCTTCAAATAGAGCCTTAATGTTAACTTGCCAAGGAGGCACATTTGATACAAGCCAAGATCAATGTCGGATGGAGACATTCGGACAAATTCAATTTTTGCCTGGGAACTTTTCCAAATACAGTACATTCAGCTTGAGATGCTTGTTGATAAGGTAATACTGTTGTACTGTTGATAAGGTAATATGCTTGACCCTGTAGATATGTTAAGTCTGAGTACATTACATCAACTCCTTTGGAAAATTCAGAGCTGCTTTGTGCAAAAGACTGTCTTGGGCATAGATAACAGCAAAGAACATCCCATCTGCAAGCAGTGGTTTTAATGAGAAGGCATCTGGGAAGTACAAATGCATGTAGGTCAGGATGGATGGCAGCCAATGTCACAGTCAACCTCAAGGCACTCTGCAGAAAAACAGCCTAATCATCCTTCTAGTATGCATAGGAGTTTCTCTTGTTATGTAGGCAGCTACAGCATACACTATAATATATAAGTGCAGTTCAATAAAGGTTTTCCCAGGCCCACTTATTAATCATACTGTTCACAGGAAGGTGAAATTTCACATGTGTAATAAATGCATATCTCTATGAGTCACATGCTTGTTTTCATCTCTGAACTTGAAAAGGTCATTTGTAATAAATCAAACCCTTCAGATGTCTAGATTTTATGGAGGACAATTTGTTAGAACATGTACAAGGATTTTCAAAAGATGTACAAGGATTTTCAAATATCCTAAATGCATGTACCATTAAGGCTTGTACGTTCTTTCATCTAGATATTTCATACACTTCTCATTCGTGTTGTTTATCATAGACCCCTCTTGAAATACTGGTAGGGCTCTGGAAAGCCCTTGTGATACGTATAATTTTATTCGTACTCATTGTCACCATTGTGTATCGATATGAATCAAATGGTGCTACAAGTATTGTCACCTCATCAAAAAATGACAATGCTATAACCTATTTCAGAGAAAAGCCAAATGCAAATCACATCAGAATATTGGTGTCAATGTCAACTTGTAATCTAGTAGCTGAAAGTCCCTTTGTTGTATTTTTCATTACAGTACCCATAGTAGATTGGTAAAGTGATTGTTGAATTGTGTGTTCCATGTATGCCATTCCATCAGAGTGGGAGCAGATGCCAGAAGGCAAATTTAATTTCTACATGCTTTTAGCCTGTCTAGGTGATGGTATAAGTTAGTCCAGTGTTGTCAGAAATATGATTAGTCTAATGCAGTAGGGCTGCTGACATACAGTTGTTGGGACCGGTTCCTTTTACATCGTCAGAAGAACTGTGTGTTTGTGAAAAATTGATGATAAGGACAGCAACATGGATACACACTATGTCTGTGTCCTTAGGGTAAAGGGAATTCAAAGGTGAAGCGATTTCTGGAAACAGGTCAAACAAAGGATGGCCCTGGGGCTTAACTTACACGGATTGGAAGGGAAGATAAACAACAGGATGGGTTTGGTTATATGTTATGAAGTATGAATCGTTAATGAAAATTACCAAAGCTGATGAGTCTCCATTCTTGCTATATATCACCATATGAAGAATGGTAAAGAGTTTCTGATCAAATGAAATTGAATCTATGTACATAGCGGCCAAGGCAGGAGTCTATGACATTATACAATGTATGATACATCATAATACATTACAGCTCCCTTCAATCAGAATAAACTAGATGATATACTGCATACTAGAAACAGATGCATGAGTTGGTTTTGCCGTGCATAGATCTGAAACAAATCTCATATCTTCCTGAGCTTGTGATCTGAGGTAATGCCACACATGTTACTGTACATGTACATATACAAATGTATGTTATATTCATAAGGTACTGCATCATCAGGATATATTGAATATGGTATGCAGACTCTGTCTACCAGAGCTTTCTTTAATACTGATTCATGAAGCAAGCAGTCTTTTAATATGCATTGAAATTTTGATTTTAGAGGATCTAAATATCTGAGGTGCTGTTGTGAATATACACGAAGAAAGTGTTATGGCTGTAGGCTAGCATATTTCTGACTTACAATGTAACTAAATAGGCTGTCACAAAACATGACAAGAAATAAAGGGTTAGGCATCAGAACTACCTTGTTAAGAAGTACACTGTAACTGAGTATATAGTACATGTATTACAGTATATGAAAGTAATCTTGTTACTCCACAGTCTTAGCAACTTTCCTTATCCAGACATGGCAACCATACATGTACATTACTACTAATGGGATCTCTGATTTAGCAGGATTTTTCCTGTAGAACTTGAAGAACTAAGAAAATAAGCCTTGTGAGGTGCATCTATTTCTAACTATGGTTACTGTGTATCTGACTGATGACCGTACCATGTGTTCCAGCCGCAGACACAGCTGTCTCCCCAGGAGGAGCAGGAGAAACTCCTGGATGAGGCCCTCCAGGTGGTCAAGGTGCAGTCCTTCCAGATGAAAAGATGTCTGGTGAGATACCCCTTCTTTACAAACTGTACATACTAGTAAGACATACCTGGATGTGGATATACAGTCAAACCTGTACTAGCGGTCACCTTTGTATAGTGGTCACTCGGCCATAGCGGTCAGTTTTTGCCGGTCCCTTGAATTTTTCCCATTGACGTAAGCATTAAGAATCGTGTCTATAGCGGTCACTGTTCAACGCGGTCAGCGGTCACCCCATTCCGGTCCCGCCGGCATGTCAACACCGCCGATAGCGGTCGCGGCTGGCCGTAACCCGCTAAGCACCACGGCCGTAACACCACCCCACCTCGGGCTACGACCGTTATGAGCCTTGTGATAATTTTCCGATCGCTACATTACTAAAATGTAAACTGAAAATTAAACTCCATATGTGTATGAAATAAAGGAAAACTGGCTTTTGACACGAAGTTTCTGCGGTCGCGGGTGTCTTTGATATCTGCGTTTTCCCCAACACCAGTGCCGTGCGTGCCGCATGGAGCTTTCAATGGACTCGGCCGCTCGGCGAAGATTACGGCAATTATCTTTACAAAAAAACTTAAGAATATCCATATTTGGTTTCTCGATTCCTTGAAATGCGTAGATATGTGCATAGCTTCCGTTTTTCATGAGCATAATTCAAGAAATTTGGCTCGAAAATGCGTTTCGTATTTTTCCAAGATGGCGCATGTGTTAGCTGCAGAGGGAGGTCAATAGGGGTCATCGGAAGACTACACTGTTATGGAGGTAGATACACCGAGTTTTATTTAACTTTATTAGCGTCAAATGATGTAATTATATTATGAAAACATTTGAAATACATTACTAAAAGTAATTTTAGATGTAAATTTAACACTGTAGTGGATATTTTAGAAAAGATATTAGTCTGAAAGGAGAAAATTTTCTGTTGACTACCACATTGGCATAATGGTAGAGGCAGACAACCCACGCGGGGAGAAACCCAAGCCGTAAACAAAGGAGAGTTTTCGCTAAGTTTTCATGTTCAAAAACGACCAAAAACGGAAAGTAACTGGCAACTGACGAACAATTATTTTGCTGTTAACTAAATAGACAGTATCTTGGTACAAAATAACTTATTTACGTGGTTGGAATTCGCTGTGGCGTATGTCGGTCGCGCGAAGCAAGTGTTCACCAAAGAGCAAAAACATGGCGATGTCGTTCTTCCACTTTTCGACTAACAACAACAACAAGTACCAGTAACGTGGCGATTGCGGAGAAACGATGGCGAAAGCGGAAAGACGGACACCGAACTTATTCCAAAAGGTGGAAGTGATCCGACTGGCAGAGAGAG